GAGCCGAAGGCAGATGCTTAACCATCTGAGCCACCCAGGCGCCCGAGATAGTAAGGTTTTTATAAAACTTTATAGAACAGTTGCCAGATGTAGCAAACCAAACTACAGGATGCCCAAATATTGCACGAAACATACTTTATACTATAAAATTATTTGTTTACCCGAAATTCAAATGTAACTGGGTATCCTGTGTTTTCCTAGCAACCCTACTTTACAGGGTTGTTGGGAGGATAATGTGACATCTTCCATATCGAACTCTCAGAACAATGCCTGGCATATAATAAGCATTGAGTAATGATTGGTTATTGTTACAAAGGTTACCACTTTGAGCAGAGGCACCTTTCTTTTATTCCGGTTCTAATGATTTTCTAAGGATTTGCCTGGGCATATAATTTAACCATTTATAGTCATATATTCTCCATAATCAATAAAAAGAAGAAAGTAGTATCTCATTGCTTAAGTCCTTAGATATTGTTTTGTAAGGGCCAAGAAATTTGTATTAAGTCGCCCTTCATCTACCATTAATGGAAGAAAGCCTTGGTAGGAAAAATTAACATTTAACAGCCTTGTGTGATAAATATGATTTATTCCTTTTAGCTCCAGGAGAGCTATCTTTGTAAGGTTTTCTTTTCTTTTTTTTAAAGATATTATTTATTTATTTGTCAGAGAGAGAAAGCAAGCAGGGGGAGTGGCAGGCAGAGGGAGAAGCAGGCTCCCTGATAAGCAGGGAGCCCCATGCGGGGCTCGATCCCAAGACTCCAGGATCATGACCTGAGCCGAAGGCAGATGTTTAACCGGCTGAGCCACCCAGGCACCCCTGTCAGGTTTTTCTTAGGGAAGAATTAACTTGTAGTCCCTGAACACATGGTAACTGAGCATGAAGGGGGAGAAAGGAAGCCCACAACAGTTTGGTAGTCGAGGGAAGTGAGCCTGCGCTGGAGTAAAACAGGGAGTGAATCGACCACATGCGGTTAACTGCAAGTTCATGGTAGTATCTCAGAGAGGATTACCTCTCAACCAACTTGCCACAGGCTGACAGTGTTGACAGTCCCATTTCCGCGGCGTCCCCACACTTGCTTAATGCACGTGTTGGCCAGGAACCCATGAATATAAGTAAAAGTCCAACTTGCACGGATTTCTCTACAGAAGGTACATGATATGACACATTTTTTTTTTTTTTCAGCACCGAAGTGTGACAGCTGGTAAATCATTTGTAAATAAACTGATGATATGTTTCTCTGATTCTCTCTCATGTGTTGACTTAGGACCTAGTAAAGATAATTTGCATAATCATATGGTCAGGAAATTTGTTTCTGTAGAAGGGAAAGAAAGGAGTTCTGAATACACTAAGCTGAGGAAATAGGAACTTCATGTTTGATTTTTAGGTAAACGATGACCTCCCTGCAAATTATAGAAATAAATTGAGTATTCTTACAGTAAGAAAATTTACTTATTTGTCAGCATATTTTCAGACTATCAAATAAAAAAAGGTGAGGAAGAGAAAGAGATTGAGAGAGCGGGTGTGAAAGACAAAGAGAGGGTCAGAGGCGGAGGAGACTGAGTGAAACAGCTCAAGAGAAGTAGAGAAACAGAGAAAATCACAGACAGAGAAACCGAGGGATTAATCCCAGGACTCATACAGATGAAGTGATAAATCCCCTTCACTTGGCAAACCCCCTTCCTACCTATTCTGAAGGCAACGTCAACAGTATATTTTCTTTCCTTAACCTCTCGCACCAGCCACCCCTCTTTTCCCATAACTTGTCACATGTGCCCCGGGTGGAGAAAACGTTATTTTAATGATCAACCAAATCTACATATCAGGAAGTCCTCCTCGAAATCTCGAATTTAGTTTCACTTTTATGCTTCAAAATCTGTTTACAAATATAGTTTCCAATTTCCTGATAAAGAAAAGGGGAAGGGGCTACTTCATGCAGAAGATGACTGTTTTTAAATAATCATTACACTGAAGGAAGCCTGGTTAGCTCCTGGTGCTAACGTGGCTAGCTGAGGCTTCCCCCGCAGCATCCTGTGGCTATCAGAAGGAAATGCACTCAAGGCAGCTGTGAGGTAAGTGAATAAATAAATAATAGCAGCAAAGGCACAAATAACCAAAGCAAACACTTTTTGTCAGGACACGTTAAGTATTCGTTAGGAGAAACTTGCGAAACTGGATGATTCACTTTCTGAGTTTGGTCTCTGGGAGACAGCAGTAGGGGTAAAGTGAAACCTGATACTTGGGTATCAGACCCTGCTGGTAACAGTTTTAAGGGAAAAACAATGAGAAAAGCCTACTCACCAACGTCACCAACTTCAGCTCCTTAGCTACCGCACCTCGGCCTACCCAGGAGAGCAGAAGCAAGCAGCTAAGGCAAAGATTTGTTACCCTGGCCACGGGGAGCAGGGCAGCCCTCATGCTGGGGAGTGCTGTCTCGGGCAGGAGTTCGGAGGTGCTGTTTCCACAGCAAAAGCCATTAGAGGGGAAGCTACTCAACAAAGGGATAAAAAGGGAAGGAGTCACTGGGAGGAGTCAGACTCAGAAGTAGTAAGATCACCAGGTAGTTTGGGGCGGGGTTTGGCAAGTGTCTGGTCAGATAATTTGGGGGCTGGGTGTGAGAGAGCACAGTCTTCTGGATTTAAGGTAGAACACTGAGCTCCACGGAGCGGAAAGCTGTTGCTCAAGGTCACGGAGCATGTTAGGAGATTTTTTTTTTTTTTTAAGTTTACCATTCTCTTTAGATAGGGTGTGATAGAGTGTTTGGTCTGTGCCTGTCACTTGGGAAAGGGATCTACCTTGACTTTGGAAACCTTAGGCCAGTGATTCCTAATCTTTTGGGAATCCAGGAATATAGGCACAGTAATATGGAAGGAATTGCAGGTACTGGCATATTTTGGCCTCCTTTTGTAAAACTCTCATGTAGTCTAGAGAGGTGTTTTTATTTATTTTTACTTTTTTTTTTGAGAGGTGTTTTTAAATTGAAGAAAAGTAAGAGAAATTTTATTTTGAAAGTTTTTAATGACAACCTTAAGGTATTTGGGGTTCATCCGTGGCATCTCAAAATTAGGATTAGAAGTACCTTTCCTAACCTGACACAATTGAAAAACAATGACAGGGCGCCTGGGTGGCTCAGTTGGTTAAGCGACTGCCTTCGGCTCAGGTCATGATCCTGGAGTCCCTGGATCGAGTCCCGCATCGGGCTCCCTGCT